ACCTCTCCCTGGTCCCCCCCCCGCCCCCCGCCCCCCCCCCGCCCCCCGCCGTGCCGGGACTTCAGCCTACTTCCGGGGTCAAGTCCCCGTTCGGCCACCTCAGATCCCGGTCCGTGGCCTCAGCCCCGCCCCTCCAGGCCCCGCCTCCTCCGCCCACTCTTTTCAGCCCGAGCAACTTCCGGAACGCCGGGAGTCACTAGGCAGTGGGTCCGTACTTCCGGAGGACTCGTGCTCCTCCCCCGTCCCCATGCAATGCAACTGGACGACCCTGCGGATTTGATTGGTGGAGCTGGAGCGCGGGTCTCCTAGGATTGGCGATCGGGAAATCTGCGCGTGTTGGCGCGGAGGCCAGCTCGGAGTCCTTGCTGGCTCTGCTTTCCCGCTGCTTCCGAGTGTCGGCGGCACCATCATGGTGGACATAATGGAGCTCCCCAAAGCGCGCATCAACGCCAGCATGCTAGCGCAGTACATCGACCGGCCCGTGTGCTTCGTGGGGAAGCTGGAAAAGGTGCGCAGGCTCGGGCGACAGAGCGGGGCACCGTGGCCACCCAGGAGTGGCTGCGCAGTGGGGAGCGGAGGGTGAAAGCAGGTAGCCTTAAGCAGCATTGCTCTCCAGCTTGCTTTAGTTTTCACCAGCAAGAGTTGCCGCTGCAGCTCCGGCGTGATGCCGCTTCTTGTGTGTCGCAAAGTGTTTTCGAATGAGCTAACTTGTAGTTCCAGCGCTCCCCGCCCCCGTTCTGTATTTACTTGAAAGATGATCAGCCTGGCTCCACTGCCTACTGTGGAGTTTTTGGTTTAGCCATGCTTGGCTGATGAATCTATTTCTTTCCTGGTCTTTTGTAACTTTCTGTGTTTTGGGCCTTTTTTTTCGCGTTGCAGTAGCTTTTCTGTGAGACATTGATAGCCCCTCCCATATCCTGTTGATCCCCAGTATGTAGCCCAGACTTAAGACTACATACAGCCCTCATCCTATAGCTAAGAAATAAGCCCACAGTCTGAGAATCTGTGACTGAGAGAGCCGAGGAAAGGAAAATCATTTGTAAGAACTTATTTACTAGCTCATTTCATTCACACATTCCCAAAGTGAAAGGAATGTTATTCTAACTTCACAGGTAGGCTGACTGAGCCAGAGTGTTGGTAATTAACTGAAATGCTCAGGGTCACAAGTGGCAAAGCTCAATTCAGATCCCAAGAGAAGTCCTCAGATCTGGCAGCCAGTTCTTTTAGTTCTTCATTCCTAATTTTAAAAGCATACCTTCTGTGAGATGTACTATCTAAATCATGAATGTCAGCAGAATCCCCACTGTTAGGTAAGTGAAAAACTTCCTTAATTTAGTTTTAGTATACAGTTGCCAGATTTTGCAAATAAAACAAGAAGCCATACATAACACTAAGCAAGTACTCATTGTTTACTAGAAATTCAAAATTAGCTGGGCTTCCAGTGATCAGATCTGGTAACAAGATTACAACTTGAACCAAATAAACTGTCCAAAAACCAGTTGTCTTATGTTCAAGTAAAATGTCAATGAAGTTTTTAACCATTTCATTTCTGTAGATTCTATTTTCTAAATCTATGTGGGTTTTTGTTTTCTTTTTTAGATTCATCCCACTGGAAAAATGTTTATTCTTTCAGATGGAGAAGGAAAAAATGGAACAATTGAATTGATGGAGCCAGTATGTTTTAAGTGATGTCTCATATTTAATTTTTTTGTTTGGTTTTTTTATTATTTCTGATTTGGTGGATGGTAGTGTGAAGGCTGTACTAGTTAAGCCTCCTCATCTTTAAAATCAAACCTATGCCCTCATATTTTATTTCCATTTCTAATCCATACTAATTATTAGAGCTCCAAGTTTCTGATAATGTCCCTTAAGATTGGTTGGATAATAATTTTTATTACTTAAAAAGATACCCAAAATGTACATATGAAAATCTTTTCCAACTACTTCTTCCATATTCACAAGCCTGGCCTTGAAGTGGTGGCCCCAGGTGCTTCGCCTGCTTCAGACTGCTACTGGTACTGCCAACCATCTTGATTTTCTATTTTTAATCTTCAGTTACATATATTTTTATTTTCTGTTTAATGTGCTCAGAAACATTTTTGTGGTCTTTTATGAAGACAAATCCATACAGTGTTTGGTTACTCTATATAGAACACACATTGTAAGATTTATACACAGTTCTCAGTGAATTTTCAAATAAATCCCTGTGTATATATCAGGAACTCTGAAATCCTCAGTGTCTTTAAATAACTCTGCCGTCAACTTAAATATAAGTATCTTTGGACCTTGAGCCTCTTCTAAAGATAACAAAACTTTTACCATCCTGTCAGGTATAGATACCACCATTTTTTAACAAACTATACTTCTGTTTTTTTATGTTGGTAAAATTTGAAACTTCTTTTTAACAATGAAAAATTAGTAAGCTGTGAAACAATATGAAAAACAAGAAACTATGAAACAGCTTTCCAAGCATATTATCAATTGAAAAGGTCAATATAGGTAACTGACATTTCGGTCAACATTTTAGCTTGATGAAGAAATCTCTGGAGTTGTGGAAGTAGTTGGAAAAGTCACAGCGAAAGCAACCATAATGTGTGCATCTTATGTCCAGTTTAAGGAAGATTGTGTTCGCTTTGGTAAGTAAAACATTATACTACATAGTAGTGCCATGTAAATAGGAGAAAAACTTTTTTTTACTATGCATTGGTCTTAAATCTCAGTCCTGGCATATTTTCAATTTCTATAGAATGAAGAGACCTTCTTTTAATCATCTCTTATAGGTGAAGGAAACTTAGTAAATGCTATTTATAGATAAAATGGCTTAAAATATGATGAAATTAATATTCATTAATATATGAATTCAAAGTTTGAACAGTGCAGTAACACTGAAATTATGATCCAGCAGAAAATGACTATGTAACAGACAACAAAATAGGTTATCATCTCTCCTTTCTTTGGGGGCACCAGAGATAAATAAACATGGATTTTGAAAAGAAGTAGACTTCTGAAAAGGAAAGAAATAGGTAGAAACTTGAGGTAACAGTAGATGCTGCAAATTCCGCTATAGATTAAATATTTGCTTAAATGTTTCTTTCAGATCTTGAACTTTACAATGAAGCTGTGAAGATTATCAATGAGTTACCTCAGTTTTTTCCTTTAGGGCTTATACAACATGAATGAACTTCTTGAAATTTTTATGACTGCCAGTGAGCAACATTGAAAGTTTTTAAAGAAGACTCCTTCAGTTGGAGTGAGAGACTCCTCTAATATCTCATATTTAATTTGCTCTTTTGTATGTATTATGTTGTAAATCTATTATGTAACAGTTTACAACAGTCCTTATAAAATTTTTAAAATGGCTACATCTGCATATGGTCTGAATTCAAGATTTAGAGTTTAGATTTCTGCTGTATAATAAAAATCAAAATAACATGTTGTTGATCAATTGTTTTTATTTTTTCAGTCTTAAACTTGGAATTTTGAGGCTGTAAGGTCGGTCTTAGAGCTACCAAATGAAAGCCTGGTCAAACTGTGGTATGGATTTAATTACCATCTACCATGCTGATTATTGCTTGATAAGATATTTAGAAAGTACTTTTGGTGCATGAAAGAGCAGGCATATATCTAATTTGTGAAGTGTTTCTTCATTCTGGATATTAAAACGAGGATATACCAATGACAGAGGTGATATGTGATCATTCAGTTAGTAGAGTCATTTGACTTTCTCTTCTGACCTTTAAATTGTCATTGTTCTTTGTATGGAATTCTCACCTACCATTTTTATGTCCTAAATAGGGAATGTTTTTCACAGATCAAACTATTTTGAAAAATTCTGGAGACATTAGATATGGCCTAGTTAAAGGAAGTACATCATTGGGTTGTCTTTCAAGGTATAGCTGGTCCCTGGCCCTTTCCTCACTGTACTCATGTTTCTTGGCCACCAAGGTCTGAATTTCTTTCCTCCCATCCATGAGGTACTAAGCCATCTGAAAGCACTCATAAGCCCTCCCTTGAAATTGTACATGGCAGGCATTTTGTCACAGTGACAACCACAGCTATTTACACACAGAGGTAGAGTACCAAAGAAGGAAGGCGAGTGCTGTGATGATGTCACTGTGAGTTTTAAGTGTTGCGCCTTGGTTGAGGGAGACTTCTCCAAGGGTTGGAGAACTGACTAGAGAGGTCATAGAAAGTTGCGAGCAGAATTTGATGAGTAATAAATAACAGGGAACTCAGGAGACCAAAATGCTGATAGAAATAAAGACTGCTCATGAAATTTCCAGTGAGGATGAAACTCTTGACAATTAGACTGGAAAGGTCTTTATTACATTCTGGGAAAGAATTTGTCTATGTTTTTGTCCATGTTCTGCGACTGAGGCTAAATTCAAAATGAACACATTCATTTGGCAGAGGAATTTCTAGACAGGTTAATATTGGACTGTGACATGTTCATTGCACACAGCTTTTAGTTGGGTTTATAATAAGAACTAGAGAAAAGCCACACTGAAAAATGACAGACTCTGAAGACCCCCATGGAAGGCCTCACCCTCCCTGGGGAGCAGAAAGGGTTATGGGATAGGTAGGGTGTTAGTGGGGGGGGGGGCAGAGGAGGAGGGGAGGCAGAGGGAAGTGGGATTGACATGTAAAATAATCGTTTCTAATTTAAATGAAAAATGGAGAGAAAAAAGAAAAGAAACGTGTAGTTTAGCTGCAAAAGGAACATTTAAAGTGGTCACAAAGAATATATGGGGTTGTTCAGAGCTTAGGGCCATGAAAAAAACCAAATGTGCTTCATTGGAATAGGAAAGATACCATGAGGGCATCACAGAATGAGTTTTTTACTCATTTGGGAGGTTTTACATTATTAAGAAGGGAGCTCCAGGAACACTGTATGCACAGCTCTAAGGTTTGTTTTTTTGGGTTTGTTTTGTTTTCCCCCTGTGTTTAGTGATGCAGGCACTGTTTAGCCTATTCAGACATGGCCTAAATGGGCCTAGCTCCTACTCAGGCTGTCAGTGGATCTTGACATCATCTACATGGTGTTTGTTTATTCAAGCATGTAGAACCCAAGTTGAATGCCATGAAGGATTCCACCTACGTTTAAAGGAAGGCCTGGGAGTCTAGACAGTGTTTTCGAGTCAGAGTCCCTGCAGGTAGCCTCAGTGTGATAAATGAAACTTAAGCTGCAATGGAGACACCAGGATGTTAAAGATGCCACAAACAAACAACAGCAATGCCTGCAAGGGAAAACTACAGGCAACAAGTAGAGCCGACCTAAGAGAAGTCACGTGGACTACAATGGGCAAGGTCATCAGGGCAGGACTGCTCCAACCTATGAGCATTCTCACATCATGACACCACATACCACAAATGCCACATCTGAAATTGCAAGAATTTAACTTTCGCCAAACTGGATTTTGGTCTTTAATCCCATTCTTCCTAGTTGTTCTTAACTTTGTATTTTTGTGTATGGGAGATATGTAACCTTTTTTTCACTTTATAGAGGCCCTACTAAGAGTTTAAATATCTTTAAAATTTGAATTTATAATTTCGAATGGTGGCTTATAGGAGGTGGAATATATATATATGCACTGTGAAATGTCCAAGATCTTTTTATAGTCACATGTGCAATGTTATCTTTGAATATGAAATTACCCCACAGATTCATGTGGTAAGCATCTGATCCTCATTTAGGGTTCTTATTTTGTAAAGTTCTAGATTAAGTAGGTTACTAGGGGCACAGCTTAGAAGGGGATTACCTGGACTCTGGTCCTTCCTTCTCTTCTTGCCTGCCATGAGCAGGCTGTTCCTCGACAACTTCTGCTACTGTAATGTTCTGCCTCAACATGGGTCCAAAGATAGGGAGCCACGTGACCATGGACTGAACTTTATGAAACCATGAGCCAAAATCTTCATTTAAGTTGTCAAATATTTTGGTCACTCTAATTTGATTATCTTCAATTTCAAGCTTTTATAGCCCTTAAATAGTCTACAGATTACTTAAAAAACATTACCATAGCTGGTTATGGTAAAGGCTTTTATTGTAAGAAATAAATGTATAGTATAGTTTGAAAACAAGGAGGGACATCAGCCATTTCCAGTAAATTTTGTCTTACATACTAAAGAAGGTGTCAGTCTCCAGTTCTGTGTTAACCAACCCAGTTATCACATATTGAGAGTGTCCTCAAATTGTACTAAGTCAGCCTAGGACCTTGCTTTCTGTTGAGTCCTTTGTGCTAATGGCATGATGCTGTAGCTAAACTCTGTCATGACTGAACTACTTACCATGTATACCAAGGTGTCCCATCATCCCATCGACTAAAGAAATGTTGTCTGAACAAGTACTTCCCTGCCATGGTTCCAGATTTTTCCTGCAGTGATTTCATTGAAATATTATTCACAAATCACACAGTTCATCTATTCTGAGCATATAATTGAATGATTTTTTTTAGGAGGTTTTCATTGTGCCAAAACCAAATTCCACATTATTTACATGTTAATTCTTTTACTCCTAGAAAGTACTCAGTAAATATTGGTTGACTGTAGAGTATCAGGGTAGGCAAAGGAGAGTTTCAGTACATTCATTCATTTATAATATGGCACACTTACGTCTTTTAAAAACTTGGTTTATATAAATGGCTGAAAGACACAAAAGAAACTGCTCAACATGCTTAGCCGTCAGGGAAATGCAAATCAAAACAACTCTGAGACGATACCATCTTATACCCATCGAATGGCTAAAATCAAAAACACCAATGACAGTTTATGCTGGAGAGGATGTGGAGAAAGGGGAACGCTTCTCCATTGCTGGTGGGAGTGCCAACTTGTACAGCCACTTTGGAAATCAGTATGGCAGTTTCTCCAGAAAATGGGAATCAGTCTACCTCAAGGTCCAGCAATTCCTCTCTTAGGCATATACCCAAAGGGTTCACATTCATACAAAAAGGACATCTGTTCAACTATGTTCATAGCAGCATTATTTGTAATAGCCAGAACCTGAAAGCAACCTAGATGCCCCTCAACCAAAGAATGGATATAGAAAATGTGGTACATTTCCACAATGGAGTACTACTCAACAGAAAAAAAACAATGGAATCTTGAAATTTGCAGGCAAATGGATAGAACTAGAAGAAACCATCCTGAGTGAGGTAACCCAGTCAGAGAAAGACAAATATGGTATGTACTCACTCATATATGGAAATTAGACATAGAGCAAAAGATTACCAGCCTACAATCCACACTACCAGAGAAGCTAGGAAACAAGGAGGACCCTAAGAGAGCCATACATGGTCCCCAAGTGAAGGGGAAAGGGACAAGAGCCCCTTAACAAATTGGGAGCATGGGGTGGGGGGTGGGGCGCTAGGAAGAAGAGGAAGGAAGAGGAGAACATGAGCGATCGGGAAGATTGAGATGGGAGATGAATAGAGGAGAGCAAGAAAAAAGACACATCAATAGAGGGAACCATTATAGGTTTAAAGAGAAATCTGTCACTAGGGAATTGTACAGAGATCCACAAGGATGACCCCAACTAGGAATCTAAGCAATGATGGAGAGGCTACCTTAAATGCCCTTCCCCTATAATGAGATTGATGACTGCCTTAAATGCCATCCTAGAGCCTTCATCCAGTAGCTGATGGAAGCAGAAGCAGACACCCACAGCTAAGCACTGAGCCAAACTCCTAGAATCCAGTTTGAGAGAGGGAGGAGTGACAAAGGGATCAAGACCACCCTGGGAAAAGCCACAGAAACTAGCTGACCTGAGCAAGTGAGAACTCATGGACCTCAGCCTGACAGCTGGGGAACCAACATAGGACCAAACCAGGCATCTAAATGTGCATGTCAGCTAGGAGCACTGGGCAGTCTATGGGGCCTCTGGCAGTGGAACCAGGATGTATCCCTAGTGCATGAACAGATTTCGGGAGCCCATTTCCCATGGAGGGATATTTTCTTAGCCTAGATATACAGGGGAGGGCCTAGGCCCTACCCCAAATGACTTGAAAGATTTTTGATGATCCCTCATGGAAGGCCTCACCCTCCCTGGGGGATGGGATGGAGGGTTCAGTGAGGAGCATGGGAGGATGGGAGGGAGAAGGAACTGGGATTGATATGTAAAATGAGATTGTTTCTAATTTAAATAAAATTTATAAAAAAAAAACAAAAAACTAAGAAACATAGGAGATAGCCCAAAACATTGTAAAAAAAAAAAAAAAAAAATTCCAGCTCTAGAATTGTAATAGTCTTAAACCTACTGACACATTAGAATTTAACATTTTACAAGGAATATCAGAATTTAATATAGAAGATGACAAATCCAAAATGGTTTCCTTAAGTGTTAGTTCTGTATAGCTTCAGTTTGTTTTCTTCGTGATAAAATTATACATAGATCAGAAAGCATCTTTTCCTGGGCTAAATGCTCTGAGTAACAAACTAGTGTT